AAGTGGAATGTTCAAGAATAATGGACTTTTGTTTTTTACAATTGATAAACAGAAAGTCACTGGGTCTACTCAAAATGGTAACTGGATTCTCGGGGTTCAACGGTTGTGTATTTATACTAATCGAACCACGTGACCAAACAACCATCAACATCAGTTCCGTCTATCGGAAATAATTAGCATAATTTTTAAACTTTCAAAAATTAAATATACAATTGATCTTTGATTTCTTGTAAATCTATTACTTACAAATATTGAATTATATCGAATATAATAGTATATATACTATATATATATATATATATATATATATATATTATAGTTTTAGTATTAGAAATGAGGCGTTATCCATTCATTATTCCTTAATTTTTCCGTTAACCAGTTTTAACGGTTTCCGTTAAACAACAAACTGTATTTTATATGTTAACCTTGAGAGTGTAAATTTCAGTGAATTCATACTTTACTAACAAGATAGAGTGTAGTAATATCCTACTTTCGATTCATAACTACTTAATTGTTAATAATGTAAAAAAAAGACTTACATTCTAAACAATTTCAATGGTTCTCGTATTGATGTTTCCTTTCTTTAGTTGGATGTAAAAGTTTTTGAAGTAATTATTTCCGTTCTCCTTTTTCTCTGTAAAAAAAACTATCACTATCATTAATTTTATTATCATTCGTTTGTTGATAAAATCAATGTACGAAAAATTGTGTCACTTAATAACATAATCATCGAAATCTTCTCAAACTTTACTGCTTTTAATGATCATAGTTTCTTTTAGAGAAATACGAAATCGCGTACAGCAATTTCTGAGTGAACTGATATCAATTATCACACCTTTTACTTTAATAAAGGATTAAAATCGATTCAGGGAGTTGATTCCTTGAGTGTAGCGGCGGTTCAGCAATAAGTTTAACTACACCATCTTATTATTAATATAATACATCCATTGGTCATATGATTCTACAAATCGATAATTTTTAGGTCATTGCCTGCTGATGCTTTAAGAATAATTGTTTCGCAAAGTAGTGTGGGAGGTTTTATTCAAACTTGCTCTTCTTCAGATCGTAGATCAAAATGTTCAAGGATATAAACAACTTTCTTTCTGACTGTTAAAAAGTTTATCTATTATATTATATTATATCTTAGAATTGCTTTGTTTAACATATAAACTTTACCTTTTATAATCTATCAAATGTCTTCTTTATTGACTATTTATTCATTTTTCTCCCATTTGTCAAGTATCGATCTCAAAGGGTTTCAGTGTAATTTGAAGATTTCTTATCACAATTTCTTGTTAGTTCTTTGTTGTTGTTCTTTGATTTCAACATGGATCTTTTTCAACCTTTTTCAAAAAACGGTTTATACGCATGCTTCTCAGCCTCCAGAAAAGTATATCATTGTTCGCTGTCACTATGTATTTTATAGTATTAATTAATATTTACCTTTATTTTTCTTATCAACCAATCTAAGAACTTTACTTGTAAATCTCGTGTAGTTTACGAATATTCGCCATCTTTAATTATACATGGACACCGCATCTTTTCAGAACGGAAATGACGTTATGCGCAAAACGCTGAATTTGTTTTGAAGTCGAAGGTATTTTTTGTTTACATATATATTTATTATCATAATAATCCACTGGAAATGTTAAATAAACAAATTGTAAGTTGGGAAATTTCCAATTAGTTATCACTAGAAGATAATATGACGTTTGAGAAAAGAGTCCAACCCTAAAGAAAAAAGATTCTGTAAGTATTCAATATATTCGTCTCGCGTTATATTTTATAAATGTCCTCATTTCTATAGCTAGAAAACAATAGTAGATTCTGTAGAAAACCTTCATACATAGATAAGGAAACTGCTAAAGCTGTTATTGAAAGAAGAAGGCATTATTTTAGCAATACAGTATACTAAGGAGAAAGTTGAAAAAATCTCTAAATGATTGGTGTTTACATAAGCAGCTTCTTTAAACGTAAAGTACAAACGAGTAAAGAAGATCAAAATTATTTTCAAGATGTACTATAAAAGAAGGAAATAGGCGATAATAAAATGTTGATAAAGTTAATGGAATGAGGAAAAGTATAAAGAAAAAAAAACGAGATGAAAGAGGACAAATGAGTGAAATAACATAAGAAATTACATGATTGATGATGACGACGACGATGATGATGATGATGATAATGAATGATTAGGATGTAAAATAAGCATAATAACTCTACAGACAGCTTGGACGAAATGGATCATTAAAGACAGATGTATGAAGATGGCTTTATGATGTCAAGGCAATTATACTATATCTAGAATCTTGAAACTTGCTTACAGAACAGAAACCCTATTCCTTATTACTTACAGAAAAATGTCGGTTATTTAGGTCAAGTTATCGTCAAACAAAGAAAAAACAAGTGGTTTAGTTTTAGTAAATTTGCTTTTATAAACAGATTATTCATAACAAGTATAATTTGTTCAATTTACTACGCTAAGCCTCAGATCAATGGATGATATCTGCTGCAATGACCCACTGAGTAAAGTTTGTTTATTAAATATTTCAAATATTAAAAACTTAATTTTAATTATTCTTTTAAGAAAAAACAATGCAACTAAGGAGGATCTCTGTTCAGTAGCATTCATACGAGTGGGTTACCTGTTCTCTATAGTTAAACTTCTGCTCATGACGTCACTTCCCATCTTTGACCGTACGTCATTACATTGAACGAACGCTGTTGGAACTTGTTCTAAAATCTTTATGCAGCGTCATGTATTTATAAATTTATTAAAAACAAAAAGAATATATTTATCCATAGTTTTTATTTGGTAAAGACAATTTTTGAAGGAATACAACAGAAAAAGAACAAGAATGTTAAATACGAAACAAAGAACAGAATGTTCTTTAGAATGTCTTGGTCTGGATAAGAGTACTAAAGGTTAGTTTTTGCAAAAACGTCGAAAGGTACTAGTAATTTTGGATTCTTTATTCTTTTAAAATGAATATCAGAAAGAAAAATAAGAGATATATAGATGTAAGCCTAATCTTTTCTAAAATTCTGTATTACGTTAAGGTTGAAAATAGAAGTGTACACAATTGGGAAAAATGTCATCCTATGGAAGGAGTATTTAAAAAATATGAATATTATAATGTTTTATTCAATTTGTTCTATGGATGTGTCTTAATGGAACTTTAAATTTCTACAAAATAATTTTTATTCAACAAATTTTATGACGAAGTTATGCTTTTGCGAAGAAGAGATATGAAACTTTATTTCTATATCAATCTATAGTAACAAACAGAAAATTTCAAAGAATGTACTAATGAACTACTCTAACATATTCAAGAAACACTAATGCAATTCCGAAATTATATGTGACTATTAAATTTTGTCAAGATTCACAAACGATAAACTGTAAACAATATATTTACTTATTATAGACGTAATGCATGTTGTAACTGGATAAGATGCGTACAAGTGATTGTATATACTTGTTGTATTTTGTAAAGTAAGAAGAGCTCCTGTATACACTTTATTAGATAAGAAGAAAAACATAATTTTCAGTCTTTACCAAGAATTTTAAACACTATTTAAAGAAATACTTAAATCCAATGATTTTAAAAAAATACGCTCCGTATACATGTCATATTGACGAATGTCTGTAAAGATAGTTGATTTGGAAGGAGCAAACACTCTTATTTGGAATTATAATTTTATTAGTCGTTAGCCCAAAGACGGCATAGATATTTTCCCGCCAGACAAGAGAGCAATGAAGTCCTTGAACGATACATGATATTTAGTTCACCTTTTAATGAATTAATCGAGGATGGTTACTTTGCAACTATAAAAGTACAATATACTTTAACTATACGTTGAAGTGTTTTATTTAGAAAGAAGAAAATGTAAATTGAAAACTATATTTACGAAACAATAGATATTAATATCTGATGTAGTAACTAAAGAAATTATGTGTCTAAATCACGTTTATTTGAATAATATCGGAAAAATTGAAAAGCACATTTTATACTGTTTTTGTAGATAAGTTCCAAGTGCGAATGAAAAGATTAAAGAGCATATGTTCACTTGAAAGCTTCGTCAGAAAAAGTATAACCTGATATAATAGAACTATTTGAAGATGAAGATCAAGATACTGTTAGTATAATCAGCATAAAAGATTATAAAATTAATTTTATGATATATTTTTACTTTGAATTAGGATGAGGATCTTATTTAGATAAGAAAACTTTACTTCAAGGAATAATCAATATTGATTAATAATTATATAATTGACTGGAAAATCAAAATCGTGAACTTCAAAAGAAAAAGATTATGAGTTTCGTTTAAAATTTAAAAAATTAACAAGCAATGTACAGAATTAATAGATACAAAATTTCCAGTTTAAACAAATTGTCAAAGTTGATTTCCATCAAAAAAGATGTTGATCTTACTCTTATTGGTTCTACAGTTTTACTTTAATGCTTGAGCGACAATGGGGGTATTTAACAAAAATTTAGTATTAAACGGATTTTCCAACTTAAAAAGTAATTTAAATAATATTATTATTTAATAATATACAGTTTTTCTGCCTTTCACCTGTAAGATGATTAACAAAAAAAAGATGAGAATATTTGCGACAGAAACAGGAAACTGGATAACCGGATATGTGGTAATGCACAATTCGTATATTGATATTCATATGCACGCTGTTCGAATTTCCACAATAAATATCAAATAGTATTTTTTTTACTATTTTTTCTTTAATTGCTTTTTGGCGAAGGCATCTCGAAAGTAATTTTTTTTATATAGTTTTTGCACTTAAAAGTTTTAAAAGACATCGAATAACTGAGATATTTTAGTTTGTTTCATGCAGAAATTATGACCGAAGATATGGGTACTTTTCAGGATATAGAAAACGAATATACAAGTCAACCAAACAACAGTACAGTAAGATATCATTGTTTTCTTTGCATTAATGAAAAAATTTAAATATTGCGTGTACAAAATCCGCCTTTCGACATGGTTAGCTTGAACTTGTTGAAGGGAGGTGTTCTCTAAACGTTTTCGCCTATAATTAATATATTGTGACATCCGTTTTCAGAGTGTGATGTCGGAAGATGAAATTGCACAATTTTTTAGCGAATGGACTGATGAGTTCATCGATAGGATCAATGAAATAGCGAAAGTCGTAAGTGAAGAATACGGTATGTAAATGACTCCACTCAAGAAACCACTAACTATTTATTTTTTGTGTTTAGAAAAAGAAAAGAAGCTTGAACAAAGTCACAGAAGCTCTGATGATGATTTTTGGGACTTTCTCATTCATCTGTTTGGAAACGAATCGCAGAATTATGATAGCAGTAAATTGGAGGATGAGAGAGATGAAAATGTTCAGTACGCTTTACAAATTCATAGGGAGCTATTTGCTGAACTCGATCAGAATTACTCTGGACCTAAAAAAAGGAAACCTGACATAGTATCATTCGAACACAAAGACCAGGATACTGCTAGTCCTCAAAAAAGCAAATCTGACATAGAACTATTTGAAGACGATGACCGAGATACTAATCGTCCTCAAAAGCGCAAATCTGACAAAGAACTATTTGAAGATGATGACCAAAATACTGCTAGTCCTAAAAAGAGCGAGCCTGATATAATAGAACTATATGACGACGAAGAAGAGGATACTTCTGCTGACCCTGAAAAGAGTGAACCTGATATAATAGAACTATTTGAAGATAAAGATCAAGGTACTGCTAGCCCTAAAAAAAATGAGCCTGATATAATAGAACTATACGACGACGACGAAGAAGAAGATACTGCTGACCCTGAAAAGAGTGAACCTGATATAATAGAACTATTTGAAGATGAAGATCAAGATACTGTTAGTCCTAAAAAGAAAAAATCCGACATAAAACTAGACGAAGACGAGCACCAAGATAAGAGCAAATCCAATGTAGAACCGAATGAAGACGAAGACGAATATACCGCTAGTCCTAAAAAGAGCAAATCTGACATAGAACAATATGAAGACCAAGACCAAGATACTGCTAGCCCTAAAAAGAGCAAATCTGACATAGAACTATTTGAAGACGAAGAACAAGATTGTGCTAAAAAGAAGAAACTTCGAAAGGAACTATTTGAAGATCAAAAGCAAGATTGCGTTAGTGCTAAAAAGAGGAATAAACTCGAGGAGGAAACTGTTCGATCATCTAAGCGATTTCGCAGGGGACTATTTGAAGAGGAAAGGGTTCGATCATCGAAACGATTACGCAAAGGACCCTCAATTCTTGGTTCTAAGAGAAGATTAATGTAATATGTCCGAGCGAACTACATTGTCAATATAATATTTGTAATGTAAACGTTAAGCTTTTTTTATTGTTTGTTAGTTTTAATTAACTGAATAAAACTAAATGATATTTTGGCCAAGGAGAAAAGTAATACTGAACATTGTCAAAGTGTAAGCGCTTCCTAAACGTTCATTGACATTTCGCGTCACTCATCTTAAGCATTATCTCTTTTCATTATAAAGATTTCAATACCAGTTTTTTCCAAGAGTATTTTGTAAAGAGTCAAAATTAGGGTTGTTAGTCGATTATCCCGCATTTCTTTGCCCTTGTTGAAAAACATAGGGACTATGGCCGAAGGAAAAGTGGACAAATTGATCAGGTGTGATTGGAGCCTTGGCTGTGAAGAGGAAATTGTCTACCATGATAAGGAATGGGGTGTTCCAGTTCACGATGATAGGATTCATTTTGAATTTCTGACGCTTGAGGGTGCCCAAGCGGGATTAAACTGGAGAACCATTCTAAAGAAGAGAGAAGCTTATAGAGAAGCTTTCGACAATTTTGACGTTGAGAAGATAGCGGAATACAAAGAAGAAAAGATTGAAAATCTTATGAAAAACCCCGGAATAGTAAAGCATCGACTAAAGATCAACTCTACGGTTAAGAACGCAAAATTGTTCTTAGATATACAGAAAGAGTTTGGAACGTTCGACAGTTATGTTTGGAAATTTGTAGACAATAAGAGAATTGTAAACAAATGGGAAAAGACTGGAGATGTTCCAGCAACCAGTAAAGAATCGGATCAATTGAGTGCTGATCTTAAGAAAAGAGGATTTAAATATTGTGGATCAACGATAATGTATGCTTATATGCAAGCCTGCGGTCTGATAAATGATCATCTAGTTACGTGTTTCAGATATGGTCAAGTATAACTCGTATATTGTCGCTAATACAAAGCTATGACTTGTTATCTGCAACTCTTCGTTTGATAATGGTACGAGACGATATCCAGGTTTATTTAAGGTAGAATGTTGATCTTTAGTTATTCTTGCAGGAGTATCTCTTTCCTTCTTGAGCATTGCTATACTTTCTTCCTATGTTCTATAAACCTTGCTTTCGGAGTCGAATAATCTCTTTCAAGTTCTCCATTACCAAGCATTTCAATCGTTTTCCAAAGATAAATCAATAAGGAATTCCTGATTTGAAGTGTACGGAAGTAACGGAGGAAGCTGCCAAACTGCAATCTGCCTTTTGAGCCTATTGGTTTTTGTTACTACTAAAATTGTAGTAAGGTCCAAGAATCATATCGGAAAGCGCAACGTTTTCTACATCATCCTCAATATGTAAAGCAATCATATTGATCATCATCGGTTCAATCGTTGTTGTTCTAGAAAACTATCCTAATTAGTTTTAGAGTTAGTTGCCCAAACTTCAATGCCAACCTGTATCCGTCCTTTTTGTCGGTGCTTTCTTTAGTAAGATCACTGGATTTATTCTTCTCTGCTTGTTTAAAATGGAGAAGTGCAAACTAGTAAACTAGTATTTCCTTTGCAGGATATAAACTGGTAAATATATTATGAATAAATATAATTTATAACACTGAGAGTTTTTTTTAGATATTTAGTCTTGTTGAATTTTCCATCCAGTAGTAAAAGAGATTCAGTGGTTTTTGTATATTACTTAGTCGATTTCTCTTTTAAAGCTAAAATATAAAAATTTTCAATATAATTAGTTGCTTGTTCTTTCAGTGGGGAAGTCATCGATTAATATTTATAGTTTTATATTTTTTTATTAGTATTTCATTTTCTAACCTGATCTCGAGCAGGAATAAGAAAATAATTCATTATCGATAATAAGTGAGTTGTTTACTAGTTTCGGAATATTTTACCCGTAAAAAAAGTAGTGCAATTATAAAATGTTTTATTCGTATCTTATTGTTTCTTAAAAGGTGTTAAAATATAGTTAATTATGAATTACTATTAAAAAAATTACGAAAAAAACGTAAGTGGTGTAATAATACAAATTGTAGCATGTTTATTTTTCTTCTCAAAATGGCGGACAATGGAGTTCTTGGAAAAGTTTTGCTGTACTGACTGAATTCTGTAAGTATTAATAAAAATCCTTCTCAATATAAAATCAAATATAGTTTCAGGAATATAAATTCATTAAAAGTAATACTTAACAAACATAACAGATTAATTTTTGTTTTTCATTAAAAATTGTATAAAGTTTTATTAAATAGTTGCGATCTAATATCACAAAGTAAAAGGCAAAATGATATTTTAGACAAAGTAAACTATATGTTTTCTATTAATATTAACGATTTTTTCAGACAGTTTTCAAAGAAATTTACTTGGAAGTGTTGGAGCCAACTAATAACTTAAACCGGTTTACAAAAAGACCAATTATTATGACCAAGATTAAAAAGCCGTAAGATTTAATTTACAACAAGAGTTAACGAATATATAAAGCATTAACTCCTTATTTCCTTCGTTTCAGGTATAATCATTTTTTGAAAAGTCATCAATTACTTATTATAAAGCCTATAATAAGAGAAAATCCGTTGTTCCTTGAACATCTCACTCAAAGCTGAATCCAAGTAATCAACTGGTAGTCAACTGAAAGTTGAAGTGAAAGAATCGGAAGCTTTGGCTATTGACGACAAGGAGGCTGGAACTTGGGGACAATCAGATTGCTATCTTAACAATTGAACTATTTGACATGCGTATGATGTCAACGTTATATCCTTTGAGACGTTACAACATCAAATTTGATTGTATATTTGAAAAGAATTCGTGACAATGAAATTTAATAGAAGAAATTACGAAGTCAAATATTTTTGATGAAGAAACGAGATGCAGTCTATCCTGATCCTTATTTTTTTTGTAAGATGGATGTCAAACTTTAAGTTTTACAAGCCTTAATTTATTTGAATGGAAATGTATACTTTGTCTTTTTCTTCTTGACTATGACGCCTACAAACTTTGACAATAATGTTATATAATCAATTATGTTCTGGTTAATGAGAGAGGTAAGATATTCATAGTTCTTTTTGTTTTTGTTCAACTTTCACAACCGAACATGTTCTTCTCTTCAATTTGTTTCGTATCAATAACAGGATTATCAGACGCTGCTGCTTTTGACTTAGCAATGTTTATAAAAAGATCAGTAGTTTGAATGTTAGGAATCATCCTTTTATCTATTAAAGGTCTTGCTGTTGGTAGTAGCCTATTACCATCTTTAGAAGTGTAAGCATCCGGCGAAAAGTGGTCAGAGCATACTCTTCTATTCCATAATACTTTTGGATCTCTTTTAAAGTCATTAATCAATTTTATATTCCTTAGGTCGAAAACCCATTGCTTTACTCTATTCGATAACGATAAATGAGATACGAGATAAAAATCGACCTAATCGAAAATAATTATTTAAAAAAAATAAAATTACTAAACCTATTTATATCTTTTGGAAATCGATGAAAGTGAACTTCGCGGTTATTCTTTGTTGTTTTGGAGCAATTTACTGCCTGGCAAATCGAACCTCCTCGTTTCATATCCATTCCATCAAAATGGCCAATTACCGCCATGCATTAATGTGACATTGACCTTAGTTTTTTTCGCTAAATATTTTAATCAATTTTTATAAAGAAAATTACTCTGTAATTTATGTTAAACGTCATGATTATTCAAAATGATTATTCCTGGAATATAGAATGATTTTTATCTTTCATATTGCAGGCCATCATATAGATTACAAAGCTTTTGAGAAGATTTTCTATTTCGTCTAAAAATATGTTTTAATCGTCTTAACCCAAGGATTATATAGAACTAGAGATATTTTTCAACTCTCTTGATTTGCTGCATAGACTTTCTGACGAAATTAAAGACGCAAAATCCATTCTTTGCTACAAAAGCCTATCAGGATTAGAATAATTCTATTTCGATATGAAGATGAACAAAATATCTGATGGCGCAAGCATTCACACAGTTGATGGCTGTCTAAATAATAAAGAATTAAAGAGAAACGTTAAAATAAACTATGGATAAGAAAAGACACGACGTAACAGTATAATTTCATCTATACTGAATATAACTACTGACAATATCTCTTTGAACGCATAAAAAAAGATGTAAATACTATCATGGAACATTTACTCAAAATAAGAAAATCAAAACTAAAAAATGAAGATGAAGAGTTATTTGAATGGTTGCGCTTAAAATGGTACTCGACATGACATCATTATTTTTATCTTTTCATCCAGTATTTCAAAATGACCGCCAAAAATACTACCCTCCAGATGTCGTTCTCGATCATGCCAAATTTCAATATCTTCATTTTTCATCTTCTAAGTATGTTTATCTAACTAAAACGTATACTATAATTGATTTTAACCACAATTTCATGTTAATTTTGTGCATAATTGACTGACAAATTTGTTACAAATATTTTTACCTTGCAGATGGCGCTAAATGCTCAGTTTTTTTTTTCAACGCAATCATTTTATTCGAGTCGATTTTTCATCAAATTTCTCATTTTCTATACGAAATACGTTATAAACAACACTCTTCAATGTGTAATAAAAATGACATCATAGATAAGTATCACTTCTGAAAAGATGGACGAAATTCATTAAAGAATAGTGGACTGAGGCGGGAAAAAGTAGTAATTTGATGAAAAAATCATTTATATTTTAGCTATGACATTATAATGACATTAATTTATATTATAGATATTTACCTGATGAAGTTATGAACACGACGATGGATGGCTAATGAGGATTTTTTGAAAGACAAACTAAATTCAATAGATTATATAAAGTACAATTTGAAAGGATGCTGAAAGAAGAGAAATCGAATAAACCACATGATTTATTTTTTTAACGCAAAAAAATAAACATAAGACAAAGTCTTAACACTCTAGACGAAGGAAGCCACGAATCCAGTATGAAAAGCAAGATGAGATGAAACGGGCCATAAAAGAAGGTGGCTGTGGTATGGATGTGCGAAGGTCGTGGGACCTTTTAGAAGAGAAAGTAGTAATTTCATTAAAGAAATCGTTGCAATCACATCAAACTTGAAGCGAATAAAGAGAAGATGCAAATAATAGCAAGCAAAGCATATCATGTATTTCCATCTATTTGACGTATTTGTCAAAACAAAACATTATCGCACGTGATGGAATTTTAGAAAGGCGGTATATTTGTACTATGTACTGAATATTTTAGAAAAACTTGAAGATTGTTATAATGATAGGCTGAACGCATTTTGAATACTGACAATAAATGGTAATTTGTTAAAAAAGAAGATACATTTAAAAGCAAAATTACAGAAGTAGAACGTGGAGAAGAGAAAGAAAATACATTTTGACTGGATAAATAAAAGGTAGAAAACCATGAAGATAGACTCTTTACCAATGAATTGTTGATGTAGAATAAATGAAAATGTTTAAAAGTTGTTGATTTGGTCAAAAACAATATATTGAAACAATTGAAAACGACATTGGCAATTTCATTCTACACTATTAAAACTTTTGCAATTACGGAATGCGTAGATTGTTTTATCTTATAATCCAGTATTTGAAAACGAACTCGTAAACTACAACTACAGATGTCGCTATCACTCGAACGAAATTTCAATATTTTCGTTTTTTATCTCCTTAATATTATTTACAGATGTTTGTACTATCAACACAGCTTTTTTTGCTGAAAATTAGAAAATAAAGGCTGTGGAATGACTATAAAGAATAAAAATAGAACTTGAGATGATCGAAATTTCATTTAAAAATGATACTATATAGTAGATAAAAAATGAGGATAAGCATGAGATTCAAGAAAACTAGCAGTTGAAAAGATGCTAGACAAGGCATTCCAGGTTAAGATCCAAAAAGCCTTATAGAGGAGTCATTCAAAAAATATCGAAAAAATATTTAAAATATGGCACTGTGGCAAATTTAAAAACGCCGCAGAAAATTAGAGCCGGTTCCTTTGCAATATATCAAGAATCGAGATTTAGGGATAGTTATCTCAAAAGGATCTTGAGGAGGAATGGGCTACGAGGCTAGATTACTGATTGTAAACCAGCCCTGAAATCAAGACAAATAACGGATGAGGTTGTATCATAAGTATGTTGGAGAAAGACCAGAAAGACACAGAGAATATTATTTTTTCTTACGCATGCAGCATTTCCAAAACGACTAATATTTGTCCGAATGGGGCAATATCTATCTGGGGGTTGTATAAAGTCAAATAGAGACAGGGCTATTGCCCTTTACAATGGGTACAGTTGAAAATATCAAGAAGTTTTAAAAACAAGAAAAAATAAAAACTTAGCCGTTAAAAAGTTTTTTAAAAAAGTCTTTGTTACAAAGATAACAAATATTAAAAACGTAAACAATAAATGAATTGAGGAGGAAGAACCAAATTGACATGATAGGTTGCTTGTCTTGAATTCTTGTGCTCAAAGAGATTATCGTTCATTCTTCGAAGGCAATGCTTAAGAATTTAGGCATTCTAGAATGGTCTGCCAACAGCCCAGATGTTATTCCCATTGAAAATGCATGGAGGATTGTGAATGTATCACGGAGAACACTTTTCGATTGAGAGGCTAAAAGACAATACGGGTGGTCTACTCTGTCGAGTAGAGACTTCAGAATCAACTACATATTTGAAAGAAGATAAAGATAATCTTGTAATATTTATCTTCAATTTCTACAGTCAATAGATTTCAATACGTAATTTGTATTTTCGGTAAATTTCTTATCCTCCTCTTTCGTAATCATTCTATACCTGTTTAGAAAAAATAAAGAGAATGCGTAATATTACGTTTAAGTGACTTTTCCAGAATTTTCTAATACGATTTCTCAATCAGAATTTATTCTAATATATTCATGGACCTAAAATTTTCAGATTCCGAAGCACAAAGTTTCATCAGGGAGTACGAATATCGAAATGTTGAAATGATTTCGGGGAAGCTTTACCTTTTTTTTTTTTGATTATCTTTCCCTCTTGCTGTGTTTTTCTTATTCGGCTAAAATGGAAAAGAAAACTAGACGTAACTGTTTTTTTTTTTATTGTGAATTTAAATTGCTAACTACTTAATGTCATAGCTAAGAAATATAAAATATCATTGGATACTTCAACTTGCCGTATTGATGTAATCATAATTATTTGTCATTTTTTTTAAAAGTACTAATAAAAAACTTACTTATTAAGTAGAAATACTTTTAAAATCTTTTCCCTCTTATTTATTCCAGAACAAAAACAAATAATTCTTTTTTCAAGATGGCGTCCAAGAAGGAACTTCTTCTGTTGAATTGTTAATTCCTTAAAGTTTCCACTGTTCTCAAAAGCAAATTTACATTAATTCGTCTGGATAATGTTATATGAATTAGTTTTTTACAATATTTATATATTAAAATAATGTTTTCAAAGTTTTGCGTTTAGCCTATATTTGTCATTTTGTTAATAAAAAATTTCTGGAAAAAAGCTTTCGATGAGAATAACTCAATTATTGGATTCTATTATTTATTAAACTCCTTTTTTTTGTATAGATGAAATGAACATAAAAGACTTACGCAATTTATTTCGTTGACAATCATGTTCCCGCGATGGAACCAAATTTGAAAAAGACCGTTTGCTGATCCGAAACGCCACCTTTGTAATCTAACGCTTCCGTTTTTTTAGACGTAGAATTTTTTTTTTAAGGTTTAATAATTCTCTAAATGAAAATAAATAGAAGATCGATTTTATTAAGAGATAATTCTTTCGGTAGAAACAAATTCGATTGTTTAAGATTGCAGATGGGGTTGCTGAGAACCTGAAGAATACAAGGCTGTACAATATATATTGTATATATATATATATATAGCTATTCGTTACAATACTAAACTTGTTAGGAATATTAGATGTGAGTAACTAATTAACCAACTGAATAGTCAACGTAACTGACATAAAAAAAAGACTAATTAATTAATTTTTCGACGAGTTCCCTTCGTTCGTTTGGTTTTGTTCTTAATTCTTCTTTAGTTTATTATTAGTACATTGGTTTAAGTTAAAATATCTAATTATATAAGTAGAAATACGCATTTAATGTACAGAAATATGTCTTTCAGATATATTAAACTAATAAGATTTTATATGTAAACTAATACAATCAGCAGGAGATGATCCTTTGTTTTTCGTCTCTAATTAGAGAATGAATTTTCCATTTTAGCTCATCTTTAGACGCTGTTGGTAGTTTTTTAATCTCCGTATACAAAAAATTTGCAAAAATCTCATCTTCGTCAATGCTCTTCTTACTTTCGTTTAGGAATTGCATAAAGTACGTATGCCTATAAGAAAAACAACAACAGAAAAGGAAAATGAAGAAAATCGGAAGGTGAAGACAACTAAATTTGAGGTAAGAAAAAACTTACATATCCTTCTCATCAAAAACTCTTCTCTTTCCCGTTGTAGTTGTAGATCCTTCAGTAAAAGTTGGAGAAGTAGCAGTAGACGTTCGAGTTGACAACGACTCCGATCCGTACGTATCTTCGAAATCACCTCCTACTCTTGGTCTCTTTTCCCTTGGCGAATGATTCCTAATCAGTATTGGTTTGGATGCTTTCTTCGGTTTAAGAAAATTAAGTAATGGAAAGAATTTCCAATATGGATTAATTTTATCGAACTTATCAGCATCTCCCACGTCTTGTCGGTTAACATCTTGATAGAAACATTCTCTTAATTTGTCAAATACTTGCTTAGCTCGATTTCCTGTGAGTCCTAATTGATTTCCAATACCTTTCCAAACAACTTCCTCATCCTTTTTATTACAGCTCATTGATTCCCAAATAATCGGATTTATCTTTACCAATTTAATCAATCTAGTTGTCGTTTCTTCATTTAATTCTGTCATATCGCACATTTCCAATGAATTATTTTCCTCTTCACCTCTCATTGAGTGCCTCCAATGAAAGTTTTCAAGAAAGTGTTGAGCTTTGCTCTAATTTTCGAACGATAGCTTCCGGTTTAAAAAATAAAAACTGGTGTTTTTAATTTTTTATTTCTACTTAAATAATTTAAGAAAAAGTTTATAAAACATTGTTTTTTATTGTTTTTTTTTTTTTACAAAGTTAATTTATATACTCTGCCGATTGATAAAAGAATGTAATCTCTGATCTCTATCATCATGGTTTCTGATGAAATCTAATTTTGAGATTCCATAGGAGAAGAATGGATAAAATCGAAGGTAAATGAAATTTAATTTAAACTATTTTATCATATTAGCTTATCATTAAAGGATTTTTATGGAATCCCTTTGACAAAAGTTATCAACGATTTATCAGCTTGTTAAAGAACGAGAATAGAGAGAGAGAGAGTCTGAGCGATAATTTCACTCTGTACCATTAAAAGGGCTAATTTAAGGTTAACTAACCAAAAATTATAGTTAATCTATAATGTTTTGATGTTTTTTATATCTGAAAAATCATTTCATTTTTAGTGCATGAGAAGATAATCTCCAAGGAAAAAGCTAAAAGTTTCCATCCATTTTTAAGCATTTCGACTAACTCTTTAGCTGACCACTCAATTGTTAATCACCTTTAAAAATGTAATTCCCGGAAATGTACATGCTCTACTTCATGATGGGAGAATCTCCTCTATTATTTGATTTATATAGACGTGGAGCAACTGGCGCTGATTGTACCTTTGATGCTGTTACTCGTCGTCTAATTGTTAAACATTAGTTGACTTTTAAAGTGGCCAACACCAAGTGAAAAGGCAATTCTTTCATTCGACATTGTAAAAGAAGTTCTACCGGAGAGGCGAACTATTTTGCATATAGCGTCTCACCTTTCTAATTGCTTTCCAATTATGTTATCTATAAAATATGCTTTGGAAGATTCCGTATTTCTGGATGGGTTCAAAATTATATCATCTCCATACTGGTAGGGATAATCTTGATAATCCTCTTATTATCTGAACAGAAGAATACTTCATGACTGAAAAGGTTTAGTGAATGACAACTGGCCCTTCTGCGACGAAAGACGGCAAATGGACCATCAAGACATTAATTATCTTCTAGCAAAGTTAAAGAAGTCATCAACATTTTTAGATCTATAATCTACACTATGATATATTTTTGCAACGAATATGGACTGGATGTGGGAGAATATTGCCTTGGAATTGCCATTGATACTGCTGTAGAACTAATGCCAGAAAACGAGGAAGATAGCTGTTACTATCCCCATCTTTATACCCAATTCGAGATTTTAGAAAGAACAATCTTGGATGATTTTGATAATTGGATCTCAGCCTGCGATTCAGCGGCTGCTTTTGAAGCTTCTCAAGAACTGATGGCAGAAGACATGGCAGAAAATACTTTTTTCAATTGGACGCGTTTCTTGCAGTTCGCGATTGCCTGCTGTCACACTCAAGAAGAATGAAGAAGATGACCTGAAAGATTTGGTAACAATGGAAAGAATTGGAAGAAGTTACCTGTCGTGGCTGACATATTTTCACGGTTAATTTCATAGCAAGACTGCAAATTTCAATACATTGGTAGAGGTTGCAAAATAAAAAAATGTAGCCTACTTTGTAGGATATTGTACGAATCGCAACTATTATTGCAGTTCAACACATCATCTCTCTCTCTCTCTCTCTCTCTCTCTCTCTTTCATAAACTGCAATAATCGTTTAGAAAGAGATTATCCTTAGAGATTATGCATCAATCAATCTTATTGACCGTATGTACGCGGATTAAAGGCGATTAGTTGATCTGTGGTCTTGTCAAGTCATTTCTTTATCCTGCATGAGAAATTTGTCAAGTAGTTGCTTTCTCCTGTTGGAGGAGGGGGACTGTAAGAGAAGGGAGAAATTTCTAATCAATTCAGAATGCATAGAGCACACTCAAATTCTTACATTCTTACAGCGAATGGAAAAGACGAACAAGATTTACTATGATGACTTTGGAATTCTTAAGTTATCGAAAATTCTTATCCTGATTATCACTCTTACGAAAAGATTAGGAGAGAGTAGAAGGTTATTTTTCATAAATAAGAGAGGGGGAACAGTTGAGAATAACAAAATATCTTTCCCATCCTCAGTATACAGTATACAGAAGTCTTTGATCCAAATCTTTAATTGCAGCTTCCATATAGACTGCTGTATTCTATAAAGGCAGGATTAGGTTTAAGGTCCATTATTAAAATTTCCGTACAGTCTTTCTATGGCTTGGGTAAAGCTTTTCTTCAAGTTCTTTATGTCTATATGTTCGTCAGTTGGGTCCAAAGATTTCGAAACTAATTGTGGGCAAATTAAGGATTTGCCAGACTTAACACCCTTCTCATCGATGTTGGTAATAATTCGTATGATCAGATAAACATTTACGCACACGAGTGTTAATATAAGCGGTAAGTTTTATTCTATTAAAGCTAATATAAAGATGATAATAAACATTTATTAATTTGAATAAAGTTTATTATCTAGATATAATCAATTTGGATTATTTAAGTAATATATCACTTTTGTTCGATTTCGTTCGATTGTTCTATGGAACAAAAAAAAAAGAACAACTTATAGAATGAAAAGGTTCTTGAGTTCTTTAAATAAGAAAATTTCTAAACTAGACTTATGATTATTTGTTTAATCATTGAAAATTTCCGTTGATTATTACGTAGAATAAACTCCACACGTGGTATTTGTATATCTATTTATATATTGACCCTTTTTCAGGATAGCGTCCACAGATAGAATTCGAATGTTCTATTCCCATTTGAATAAGATTCTGGAGCCGATAAAAGAGCACTTTGTTCAACAGACCTGCTGCTGCTGCTGCCAGTCATGATATCTATCATTCGATGAGAAATTCTCCTTAGTTTGAGGATAGCTGGAATTTGAATGACTTTCTTGAATAGCTTTATTGACTTATTGACTTGTCTAATGATGAAATATCAGGGTTTTTGATGAGTAAAACTTGAGATACAGCCCTTTATTTGTTGAGATAAATTTGAATTTAAAGAACATTTTTAATTTTCCTTACGTAACGTCGATTCCAGAGTTGGAATTGAAATCATTGCCTTGATAGACTCAGATCTATCTGTGCCACCATCATTAGTGGATGGTGAATTATCAACAGTCAATTGACGTCAGGGCTTGTTGAAGAGAGTCCGTCTGCATAGTAAATTTCTAAAGTACTTTCAGTGAAAGTTGGCCTAACTGGTGGAAAAGAGTTGCCTTGTTACTAAACGAATAGATAAGTATCACTACTGAAAAGATGGACGAAATTCATTAAAGAATAAAGATCTCGGGCGAGAAAAATTAGTTTATATTTTAGCTGTGATATCGTAACTACAACAAGAATTGAACCCAAACTTTCAAAGGTAGCCTCACGAAAAAAGCCAACTTCAAGATAAACCGTCACATTATCCAACCTCGAAACCAGGAACCCTTGGACTAGGAGGGGTATGGTAATACTCGAGGATATCCATATCATGGTGGGTCCAATTGAGGGAGAGAGACAGCACAGGCTTAAATGACTAAGTCACAAGTGGACGGAGGAAGTTATCATAAAAGATAGAAAATTCCTTGTTTTTACTCAATATGGCCACATAATCTTTAAAATTATCAATCATAGCAGCCATTCTCTTCCCATTTATTTCCACATGCATCGCTGAGGGCATGCCCTAACTGTGTGGTTATTGCCGCAGTTGAAGCATATTGTTCCATCATTCAGTCTTCGTGGGGGAGTATCAACATTCAGCTCTCTATTCTAGTGCTGTGGAACCATAGAATTCGATGGCGCTGTAAATTGTACAATTCTTATGAACCTTGCATATTCCTCCACAAATGATGCGATCTGTTCCAGGGTAACCTCACCTTTCTCCTTCACCATCCTGCTGGTCCATACCTCCCAAAGCCAAACGCACAGACAAAATCTTGTCGTAACCAACCCCAATACTTCCAGTTGTTTCCTGGTTCCCTCCCCAGCGTGATTGGTGTTGAATTCGGACTGGATTTCCCTTAATAACCTGGTTAATAACTCAGTAGATCCACTTTATCCCAATCTCTCACATCGAACTGGTCCGCTATCTGCTTATGACGTTCCATGAAGGCCTTGAAGTGAGTGATATCGCCATTGAATAAGGTCAACTCTCAAATTCCGTATGTGGTCGTTTTTGGTAAAGCAGCTCTGGGCTTTGTTGCCTTGGTGACTCAACGAGGCCCAGTCTTTCCCTCACTGGTGGGTCGTAGGAATCTGTAGTGGTTGGTAGCAACTGCTGAACTTTACGTTCAAGCTCCTTCGCTCCGGCTTTGAGAGTGCTGACGTCCTTACCAATTATTGCGAGGACGAGTTCGTATTGTTCCTCTTTAACGGTCACCTTTAGTTTTGAGTCGACTCACATTTCCATTTTTCTGTCCATGGTCTCCACCTCCTGCCCAAGCTCGCCTCCAGATTTTCTATCCTAGTCTCCAAATTCCCCATTCTCTTCTCATTTCCCTGAATTGCTTAATCAGGTTTTCATTGGCTAGCCGAGCTTCGTCAATCTTTGACTGCGGCGTTGTGGCGGTCTTATTCTGTCTTGTAGTGTTTAGTTCTTTCCTGTCCTGTAGGCCTTCATCTGTGTTACGTTCCTACTCGCTCTTGGAATGGGCCAAATCTCTCTCATCATCGGACTTCTGCTCAACGTCGTCCTGTGTTGCATTTCCTATATCATCTTCCATCTCCTGCACCGAGTGTACATCTCCCTGCTCCATCTCTTTTTCTGCCCTCCTGATCATCCTCATCTCCCCCATCGTTCTCTGTATCATAGGCTATAGACCTTTTTTCCAACCCTTTGGGTTTCCAATTTCTTTTTGCTTTTCCGGAGATACCTAGTTGACGCAGCTTGTTAGGGTTGTTCATCATCACTCTCTGATGCTGTTTTGACCAATTCTGCATGCTTCTTCTTAAGTCTGGACACTCGCCCTTTAGCTTTGTTCCTCATTGGCTTCTGTCCAGATTCTCCTTCATAGTCGCTCAGCATGTTTTCCATCACATTCTTCCAGTCCGGTATGACTTCGTTTGTCTCGAATCAAAGTGTCAGAAAGGCAAGGAACAATCTGTGAGAATATTAATACTATAGACAACAGAAGACAAAGTCTTAACACTCTAGACGAAGGGAGCCACGAATCCAGTATGAAAAGCAAGATGAGATGAAACGGGCCATAAAAGAAGGTGGCTGTGGTATGGATGTGCGAAGGTCGTGGAACCTTTTAGAAGAGAAAGTAGTAATTTCATTAAAGAAATCGTTGCAATCACATCAAACTTGGAGCGAATAAAGAGAAGATGCAAATAATAGCATCAAAACAAAAGAATGAAGATGAAGAGTTATTTGAATGGTTGCGCTTAAAATGGTACTCGACATGACATCATTATTTTTATCTTTTCATCCAGTATTTCAAAATGACCGCCAAAAATACTACCCTCCAGATGTCGTTCTCGATCATGCCAAATTTCAATATCTTCATTTTTCATCTTCTAAGTATGTTTATCTAACTAAAACGTATACTATAATCGATATTAACCACAATTTTATGCTAATTTTATCGATAATTGACTGACAAATTTGTTACAAATATTTTTACCTTGCAGATGGCGCTAAATGCTCAGTTTTTATTTTCAACGCAATCATTTTATTCGAGTCGATTTTTCATCAAATTTCTCATTTTCTATACGAAATACGTTATAAACAACACTCTTCAAGATGTAATAAAAATGAAATCATAGATAAGTATCACTTCTGAAAAGATGGACGAAAGTCATTAAAGAATAGTGGACTGAGGCAGGAAAAAGTAGTAGTTTAACGAAAAATTTATTTATATTTTAGCTATGACATTGTAATGACATTATTTTATGTTATAGATATTTACCTGATGAAGTTATGAACACGACGGCGGACGGCTAATCAGGAATTTTTGAAAGACAAACTAAATTTAATAGAAAAACGCAAAAAAAAATGGACGAAATTCAATCACAGGAAATTATTAAAAGATTCGCAGCGAATAGAACGTTCCAATTCTTTGTTGTTGTTTTTTCTTTTTAAATTCATTTTATACTTACAAAATTTTGAAGTAATTTGACGGAAAATATATCTTCAAGCGCCGTCACTGACTCTTCTATCCTCGAAAGACCGTTATCGTCTATTTTTCGCAGCTTTCTCTCCCTTGTGTTGCAGCATGAAATATTCAACTTCGTCTTTCATCCAGAGAACATTACACGAGCGACATTTTCTGACTGTCAATTCTATTCAGGGGAGTTTGTTGTTGCAATGTCTCTTGATTGAGGTCTTCGTCTTCATCACCGACAAAAGGATATATTTAAATTTATAATAAATATGTAAGATATATGTAGACAGTCACGATAATAAGTAATTGTAACAAAGGTAGAAACTTGCAATTTTCATAAACTTTGCTGTAATTTTAAAACGGCCCTAACTAATATTATTGATACTGTACAATTATCTTGTTTAATTAGAAAACTTTCATTCCATTCTGTCGAACCATTATAAATTTATTTTGGTGTAATCGAATCAAATGGACTTTTATCGAACAATTGGAAATTAATCGAATTTTCTAATAAATAATGATAAATCAGTCTCACGTTTATGGAAGTTCTTTTTAATCATATCTTTATATAGATTGTAGATAACGTTCCGTTATTTTGTTTGTTTTGAAGAATTTAAATTTTTCGAATGTTCCAAGTTCCGCCATCTTGTTCTTTGGCTGTTGGAAAATGTTGCATTTCTTGAATTTGACTGGAAGCCAATTAATTACTTGATAAAAGCAGAAATGACTACTAAGATAGAGTGCTTTATCGAAATGATGAGTCCGACTCAAACAACACACTCCTAACGAACCACATAACTCAACGATCTCTATTCAAATGCAAGAAACAGCTCCAACAGTCGACGAACGTTGGATTTCGGAAATGAAATATGTTGGTGAATATTGCAAACTAAATAATAAAAAGCCAAACAAGAGTAGCTTTGAGAACCTAGTTAAAGACGTAAGATTTAATTACAATACTTAACCATCACGCAGGAAGAATCCTCAACAAAGCTAACAGTGTCTCCGATTGGATTGATTTCAAAACACTTTTTATATCTTTGAACAGACAGGAAAAGAAAGGTCACCCTCAATATCATAAAACTCAACTAATTCATCTCTAAGTTACCATTAAATATTCAACAGGAAGTCGGATATATTCACTTTAACCACTCTTCTGACTTTAACATACTTGTGCAAGAATTTGGAAAAACAATCAATCACAAATATTACAAATAGTATACAAAACGAATCCTATGCTCCTCCTACAATAGTCTCAGAAACAATAATAACGAAACCTTCCACGGAAGAATATATGCCAAAAAAAACTATCATACCAATCCAGGTCAACGTTACCCTTCGGATTCACACAATGGCCCAAGAGATATGAATACAACAACAAACTTACCAACAAATACAAATTCGAGATGATTATGCTCCGATAGCCACCTATGTCTAGCTTATGTCTTAGCCTCATTTATCAATATTAACCACGAGGGTAAAAAAGACTAATTGAATTGCTGGAGCGTTGATCTAACTGACTACGAAGCGATCATACAAACGTAAATTGTTCATCTAAATTTGATTGGGATAAATGTAAGCAAACCACGCGATACATCCGTCCATCACAAAGATTCAACAACAGCCAGCCCAGCCCTTCCTGTTAGCATCAATCAATCAGACATCAACAATGATAGAATGCTTATCTACGAGACAGAAGCACAAGTGCCATCAACAGGTATCTACCATTCGCAAGATGATTGCCTTAATAGATACTGGAGCCTCAATGTCTGTCATAAGCCGTAAAATTTCTCCACAAATAATTATCTACAAATGCTTGGACGCAATAGTTTTACCTTTATCAAGTATCCACTCGGTTGGTACCGAACCTCTCTCTCTCTCTCCAACCGCCGAAGAACCCTATCCCCCTATATGATAAATTGCATGTCATACGTGGAAACGAGCAGTAATGTTCATCACTTCGACACGGTACTCTCGAAGTATTAGCCAACTATACTCAACCCTCCCACAACTTTAGGAAATTTCAAATACTGCACCACAGTTCTTCGTGATAAAAAATCTATGGCTATAGGGTGATTCCAATCTATTCAACGACAAGCTAATATACAGCCCCCGACGAAAATATCCATATATGAAAAAAAAGAAATTTCTTTTTCGAAAAATTGGGTTTTTCTTTAATTTAAAGTGTGCCATAAATATCCATACTAACATGTTTTTGGTCTAAATAAATATAGAACATTCGACTTTCGAACAATTTAGTTTTAGAAGACAATTCTTTCAAACTTATTAGTCAATATGAAATACGACAAACAAATAAGACAGCTAGTAAGGTGGAAAAAAAAGCCAGATGACCTATGATGAACTGGAAGAGGATTTAAAAGCTATCCAATTGTTCCCAAAGTTTGTACTCTTTCAGCAAGGGCTAAAAGGAACAGACTGACCATATTAGGTGGATAGATCCAGCGACAAATTAATTATAATACAATTATCTTTATGGATGAGTCAAGATGGCAAGTAGATGTCAAGTGGTAAGCTTCCTATTGGTGGAGGAGGAGTGATGGTGTGAGGGTGTATATCCTCAGGTTTAACATTAGACAAATGGAAACTAATGTTAAACTCTTTGATGTATGACGAATAGATTATAAAAATAATCCTTTTGCTTTAAATTGATCTATAAATGGCATCATAGATGAGCTATGTCCAAACAAAATGGGCGAAGTGGGACAAGAGTGGCACCAAAACCAGCCTCAGTTTCGCCATGAAATTCATAACAATTGGCAGGAATTGCAAGTCGGTGAGGATGGTAGAGAAGTGGAACTGTTGGCCATCAATATTTGTCAACACCAGGAACCTTTTCTCTACTCCAATCGGCTATCGCCGAATTGAGAGTTAGGGAATTCGCTACGGACCAGCAAGGAAGGAATTCTTCAGGCAAACGCCGTCAAGTTCCACTTCAACAACAACCAGACCAGACGGGGCTGCCGTCGCTGCCAGTTTCAAGTGGAATCCTTACCACATGTCTTGAACAATTGCTGTACGGGATACGGCCTCTACAGAGCAGACACAGCAATAGACACAGGATAGATTGATTAAAACTAACTGTGCCCCAAGGAGCTAAGAATTCCTGTCCCGGAATCCAACACCCAACTAAGCCCTGACATCGTAATCCTGATGGAACAAGAATCGATTCGATAGATGTTGCCGACCCATTTGAATGTCCCGACGCGTTTGTGTGGCTGAGGAATTAGCTAAGCTTGCTTGGTTAATTATTGTAGTCGTTGAATGAGTTACGATTGTAGGCTATCATTAAAAATACTAATATATCTATCAGTCTTGCAAGGAACGAACTTGGACTCATTGACTACACCGGCTGAGGGGAAAGAGGTACAGAAAGAGACTCATTCGGTGAATAGGGAATTATATCTCTTGCATCTCTCTCGATATTAAATAATTGAAGTTTGCAGCTCTTAAAGCTGACGTCAATTCTGCTGCAGGGATTGATGCCCTGATTAAATATGATTGGCATTGTAGTCGATTTAAAATCTTGTGATTTTATTGTTGAAAGCATTGAAGTACCTGTTGAAGAATCAGTTGCTAAATCAGCAGAGTTTGCATCTAAAATGATGGAAGATGGATCAGCAGCAGCTCACGAGCATGGTATTGTTCACAAGGCAACTCGTGCAATTAAGGAAATATTGCTGATATCTGCAATTGCGAGGACACAACTTATGGGCATTGTGAAACCATTACCGATGGTGATGTGTGGATAATGATAGTACATTAGTAACACTATCTGTTCAAGCTGTTTCTTAGGCTGAGGCTGGTGTTGATTTGGTAGCACATAGCGAAATGATGGATGGTCCTATTGTCCACATATGTGCTGCTTTAGATAAGAATTGTTTCGAGAAAATGCCGATTATTAAGCATGTGTTCGTCGTTATCCCAGTAGGGAACTTAAAAGCCAGCTAAAAATTACTCATATTTAGGGTAGATGCTTCAAGAATATCAACCCAAATTACCAACCCAATTCAGATGCTAATCAAGTCGAACTTTTTCCCTGGCAACTCAAACGTCCAATCATGAAACGTCACTTGCTACTTTGATATATTCGGATTCACAGAACCAAGCACATTACAAATTAAAATATTGATTTTCCATCGTTTATCATTGGATACCGAAGTCGACAACTCTCGCATTATGAACACCATTGCTGAAACTACCGCTCAAAGACAACAACATCCGCATTAGTCCTTTTCAAGACTGTACTCTGGACAAAGTATGTCTCCTTGTCATTATCTGCCTTCGTTCATGCGCTGTACATATATTCCCTACATCATCTCTATGTTCAGGTATACGGAACTGTCCAAAATCCTCCATAAGAGATGGAAATGGTGGGAGGATTAATACAAACTTAGACAACAACACGTGTATATATATATCTACTGTATGTAACTTTCAGATGCTATTCGTGGCCTTTTACTGGACCGCTCACACTACTCATTTCCTTAATGGTGGTCATGTGTGGTCGTCTTAAGTACAGCCAACGCGAGGTGTTCGTTCCCCAGTTTCGTGGATCGTAGTGCCGAGAAGATGGATGGATGGATCCACTTTTATGTATTTATGCATTTATACGTTCGTACCACCGCCTTTACATCTAACAAAATCTCATGTATCAATGTTTGATAATCAGCACTTATTGGCCTATTTTTTTAACTTTTAATCCAAAGATGAAGAAAATCTAGGGTACAATTCAGTGTTTAAAAACGACCGCGAAAACAACAACTGCAGATGTCGTCGTCGTCATTCATACGGAATTTCAATCTCTTCGTTTTTCACCTCAATAGTACATTTACCTACGCAAGAAAGTCTATTATATTGATATTAAGCAAAAATTATCAGTAATTTATCGATAAATCGATTGAGAAATTAATCACAAATATTTTCACTCTGCAGATGGCGCTAAATATTGTCTACTATGTTTTTCAACGCAATCATTTTATTCGAGTCCATTTTTCAACAAATTCCTCATTTTCTATGCGAAATACGTTATAAACAACACTCTTCAATATGTAATAAAAAAGAACTCGTAGATAAGTATCACTTCTAAAAAGATGGAGGAAATTTATTACAGATTAGTGGACTGAGGCAGGAAAAAGTAGTAATTTGATGAAAAAATCATTTATTTGAACGAAGACAACAGCAAAGGAAAGTTGTATTAATTGTTTTCAATGACAGTCGAAATCGATAGACTGAATTTTCTAATTTTTACTAAATTAATACTAAAATCCACAAGGAAATGAGACGCTGTAAACTATTGTTTATGCTTTTTCTGCTATTTGAAAATGACCGCGAAAAATACTACTGCAGATGTCGTTGTCATTCATCCACAAAATTTCAAGTTTTTCTTTTTTTATCTCTATATTTTATTTACTCGAGACGAAAATTTATTTTGTTGAAAAAAAGTAAAAATTAATAGTCAATCCACTAAGTACACGATCAAAAAGTTTTTATCTTCCAGATGGCGCTAAATATTGTGTTTTATTTTTTTCAACGCAATCATTTTATTCGAGTTTATTTTTTTCTACATTCGCATTTTTCCATAAGAAATACGTTATAAACAACACTCTTCAATACGTGAGAAAAAAAGGAATCATAGATAAACATCACTCCTAAGGAGATCGAGGAAATTCATTAAACAATATTGAAATCTTGATGTAGAATATGCTTCTTTCTTTTTAAAACTCTTTATTCTTTCATAAGTGAAAAGATAGATACGTTGACGATAACATTGATTCTTCTCATTTGATATGTTCAAAGAAAATCATAGACTGATTGATTGAGAATATAAGTAATGAAAATTTTCACCGGTAAATAACTCGACGCATTTTCAACGAAATTATTTTTTTCGACTCCAATTTTCAAACCCCTTTTTTTAATATGAAAAACGAAAGAAAAGCATTAATTGTTTAGTTATTAAGAAAATATTTTTAGACAAAGATTTATTAGTGAAAAGATCGATAGAATTGAAATAACGTTAATACATTTAAATGAGAAATATCAATTATTTTCAACCACAAAAATAATCTCTTGAAAAAATAAACCTTTTTACATTGTTTTTCTATTTAAAGAAGGATAATATATCTTTGAACGCAATACATGCAAAAGATGGGAAATTTGCTGTTTATTGGCCAGTTTAATAAGTTTTTAATATTCGAATTTTAGACGGAATGACCTTGACATATGGATGTCTGCACGTGATTATGACGTACATCCGCCTCTTTGACCGCCGACATTAAGAAACCTTGCCGTTAAAGAAAATGACTTTTTTTTTGGGGATAAACGTTGATATTTTCAAGTCCTTTTTAACATACAACAGTTTGTAACTACAGTATGGAAAGAATTGTCTACGAAAGACTTGCACAAAAGAAACGTTTCGATGCGAACTATGACAACCGATGAACGATAATAGGTTTGTTTAGTCATGCTGTTTATTTCTAGCGCAAAGTTTATAATTTGTTGGTAATTTTTTCAGATAATTGTGTCATCATTCTAAAGAATGAAGAAGAAAAAACTGAATAGTTTATTAATCAATCAATCAATTAATCGTTTTTCTTATTGATTTTCCGAATTTTCTCAAAGATCGTGATATTGAAAGAGGAGAAAAGGAGAAGGAAAGAAACGCTTTTAATAGCGGAAAAAGGAAACTTTGTAAAATTATGAAATATTGGTCAAATGAGCAAAGCTTGCAGGCATTGAAAATAAGATTTTTCAATTATCTTCTCGTCCATTTTAAAGAAGGAAGAATAAGAAGAAAAAAGGAAAAGGGAAGCATTGAATCTCATGTATAACCTTTAACTTTAATAGTTAACAATTGGGCTTTTTAACGAATAACCCTAAAATGTCGCAATACGAAATATATATATAAATGTTTTTGGGATCGATAGATTTTCAGTAGCCATGTTTTATCTATCATATCCTTCTCATTCTTTAATGTTCATTAGTGTTGTTAATAAACGATTCGAATAAAATGCTCTAAAAATCGAACAATTTGAAATGACAGTGACATTTTTTTTTGCTATTTACTACATCCTGTTTTCGTGTAGATCTTTTTTTTGGTTTCGAATTTTTATGATTTTCAACAATTTAACACTAAATCAGAGTACCATTACCGTAGTTTGAATTTTGTTTATTTCATTGGAAAATAAACATAAGAGGTTTGTCTATTTCAAAAAAAAAAACAAATTAGTTAAAGACTTTTTGAAAAACGTTCTCTTAATGGAACGTTTCTTTGTTCTATAGAAAGAAGGGGTATTACTAAAACATATAAAAGGTTGAATAAAATTTGGCTGAGGAAGAGATGCCAGAAGACTTTGGAATTAAAAAAAATCTATGGAGGATGGTGTGCATTATCATTGCGAAAAACTTCAATTGAAAAGAAATTTTTGTAGTCTTACGACAATCAATCAACTTTTATCGTCCTCCCAATGGACCATGACCCTAACCGTAACGAATTTTTTTTGCAGTGCGTATGCGCCTAATGAGGGAGGAAATATTTTAAAATATATTTAAAGCATATTTATTCGCTTGAGCTAAAACAAACACATCTTTTACAGGAGTGACAACAATCTTAATTAAATCTGCCGCAAAATTGAGCTCCATACTTTGGATGCTCCGTCACCACTGCAACTTACTATATCAGTCACCTTCAGCTTTATCGCAATTCTTTCCTCCACTTCCCATTCGCACACGTAAGCGGAACTACTGTATTGATGGCATACGCCGCTGTTCTTGCAAGGATTCGGATCGCAAGCGGAAGTGGAGTTGACCGTTTGAACGTTGGCCCAAGTCAAACCCATTTCGTTAAATTTTTTACAGCATCTTTTTTTGGCTTTGTTAAAACACCTATGCGGATAGTAGGTAATATATTCTCGACATAGGCATAAATTCTCACGCCCTCATTGATACAACACAGTTCTTTTCATAGTCACTCCCGGCGTACAATCGGAATTATTGTTCTTCTTTCTACGGAAACTTAACTGGGACGAATGGACGCATTTACCCTTAATACACACTTTATCCTTGGCGCAAGGACTTCCGTCCTGCGCTCCCGGATCTTGAAAATAGCAATAGTCTCCTAGTTTACAAACAAGACGTTGACAAACATTATCTCTTTCGTTTGGGCATCTGTAACTAGGAGCGGCTCCGTTGCCGAACATCAATACGCATTGTTCTTCCAACGAATAAATAGCGCCCGGAGCTTGATTGTCCTGTGTGATTTCGTCCTGATTGAATGCGTCATTTCCGCATATTTTATTCATAACGCAAATTCTGGGGAATCCGTTGCTAGTTTGTCCATTAATGGTTTTGTAGATAGCGTCAATTGAGCATTGACTAAACACAAAAGAATGTCTGATCTTAGCAATTTCAAGATTGCCGAAATAGGGTGACATTATATTTTTGGCTTCTGGTGAACACGCTGCGCTGGATCTTGATCCATCGTGATAGGATCCAAGATTGTGTGCCAGTTCGTGGGCAGCGACTTTCCAAGAGCTCACACCAATATATTCATTAACGGATGAACCATAAAGAGTACAGATGTCTGCAACTTGAGTAGCTCCAATTACACTATAGGTGGAATCGCTGTATAGGTCTTTCTTCGTCCATAGAAACGTATGATCCCAATCCATCCAATCTTCTCCACCCGTATTGGTAGGATCTCTCATCCACTTTCTCAAGCGCTTCGATGATTCTTCGGTGTCGATTGCCTCTCTACCCTCATTCAACTTGACCCTTAACGGACTGGGTCCATCCGTAAATGGACAATTTTCTTTTTGTCTAATAATCATCATTTTCTTAACAAATACGGAAATCATATATCAGGGATCGTTGATTCTTCTATACGCAATGTTGAACGTTGAACCCTTTTCAAATTTTGAATTTTCACCATTCTACGATCCGTAAAAACCGGAACGCCTTACAAACATTTGACAGTCAAGCTATTTTTCAAGATCATGATATAGAAAACTATGAATGGAAATGAAATGGATGAGAATTTAAATGAGGATGTGATTGTAGATGCAAATGAAGGTATGATGGAAAACCTGACTGGCATGTCACAGCCTGAGAAGATAACAATTGACCTTGAGATGAGTCTGTGGAGAGCTGTATCCAAAATATATCCACTATCACAAATTCATGGATGATCCTTCAAGTCTCTTGGATACTCTGGGAAGAGATGTATAGATTTAATTTCAAATATATGACCTAGAAAAAAATATCTCAGGCTAATGCTTGATATGTAAATGGCGGAAATTGCATTGTAGAATTGCCTTCTACATACTGAGATACTGTTTGTATATCAATTTCCAACAGGATATAGAAAACATAGCCATTTCATTCAATTACATTACAGATATTATTTTTGGCACGAAACATGAGTAATGTAATGAGATTAATGTCAAAACTGGGTTAATAATTACGCAGTTTTTTCAAAGATCTCGCAAAAATCAAAAGACGGAAAATTTCAATTTTCATTTCATTTGAAATGATTAACATGATTCTCTTCACTCCAAACACTTCACCAATCCCACTTGACACTCATTTTGGTAACTTAGGAAATGCAACATGGCCTAAAATTGCATGTTGCACCTTTTTTTAACTGAAAATAAAAGCCGATAAATAATTCGGCAAAAAGAACATGTCTCGCTTAAAGTTGGTCATGTTTTTTACGGTGCAACTTTGTTGCGTTCACTTTCACCGGAAGTGACGTCATGGATTTCCATGTAATTCACCGAATGAACAAATTCACAAATTTCTCTTCTGACACATCGAAAACTAACAGAGTATCTCTTTGTTTGATAAAAGTGAAATTTTTTATATAAATCGTGGGATAAATATTTTGGAAAAAAAGTGATTTTAGTATATATTAGTATATATTTATACATGTAAAATATTTTAAAGTAAATTTGGGAAAAGCCGGAAATGACGTCACTCAAAATAAGAAACAATCGTGGAATAGAACATTCGAAAGTAGAGAACGCCTGAAAGGAATGAAGAAATAGAAAGATTCGAGAAAAAAAGACGTTATAAGAGATAGGAAGTTTTTCCTGAAAAATGAAAAGAAAGAGAAAAGTAACATGTGTATAAATAAAGAAAAAACGACATTTGGAGAATAAAACTGAAAGATTAACCGAAGTCTGATTATCATCGATTAAAAATAACGCTTGTTCATGCAAATATAGAAACGATAAAGATAAAATCTAAAACTGAATCATCTTGAACACCGAACACCGAGAAAGTTAGGTATAACCGTTTCAACTCAATCGTCATGTAAATTTAGTAGGAAACAATGAAAGAATGACGTCATTTTCATTAAAAATTGAATACTTTATATGAAAAAATGACAAAACTGTAATCATTAATCCTAACAATAAACCATGACTTTCCGTTAAAATATTCTTATCGATAATAAGAAATATTTGAAATCTTTTGATTGAAAGTTTATACTGTAAAGAAAGTTGGATGAAACGCTTACTTTGTTATAACAAAGTGTTATGTACCCATGGCTATATGTATTTTATCGAAACATTCGACATTAATCAATTAAATCGATTAAATACAAAAGTTGCTACTGTTTGATCTGTTCAAAGACGTAATGATTAACAGATCTTCTAATTAGTTTATCGATTATAATTATAGGACGAATGAATGGCAATTAATTACAACTGATGTTTGACCAGAAGACGATGGTATCAACAAGTGCCGAATATCTTCGACGCATTCAAAGAGTTTTTCGTTTCACTTACGAGTTAGCAGTGAGTAGAGTTTTTTTTCTATTCTTCTAGTATACTGCATACCAACAATTCTAAGAATCAGTAAAAAAGAATGAAAAACACGACGAACTTATCGTTCAAATTGTGAGATGAAATCCTAATCATCGTTGTCGAATATCAATTTTTGTAAGTTTCATACGTAAAACATTAAAATAGAAATTTGTATCACTTCCTATCTACACCAAAGGATAATTTAATATCAGAAAGGAAAAAAACACATTCTAGCTTTTTCGACAAATAAGAGAGAGGAACCATTCCTTTTTAATCTATTACACAATGTAATTTATCTTTAATTCACAGACCCACTTGAATAGCGTCTCTTTTATAAAAACACAATGCTTGATTGTGTAACATGGTCGGCCATTGTTTGAAGTGATAAAACCTTAGGAAGATGTTCAATATTAGTATTTATTCTGAAAATAAAATCCTTTCTGTGTTAAAGCACCCGTCCCGAATTCTTTGTCAAATGTGTGGACATTATCGGAATGAAGTACTGATGAGGGTCTTTTTTGATTGTGAGGCTTTCCACGGTTACTATTTACTACATTGCTGATCGACACTGTACTTTTAGCGATTTAATCAGCATTTGTTCCTATTCGTTGCCATGTCAATGTTGTTTGTAATGGTGTGAGTAGATGTAAGAGTGGTAAGTGTATTAGTCCTTTCCTTGTCTGATAGTTGTCCTTCTTTTTCCTCTCAGTTAAACATGTCCGGTGATCGTCGTCGTCTACGGTTATTAGTTGAACACAAATCTATAAAAACAGTTTGTTTATTGGGACGAAATTTTGGTCACTTACTGTTTACACAAAGCAACAATTAAATATCGTTTTTTACAGGATCGTAAAGATCGGAATAATCTTTAGATAAACAGCAATCACGGGACTATTTTGTATATGAAATTCGGGAAAAAATATTATTTGAACGTTAGTTAAGACAACATCTTTCACTCTTTCTACGTTATTCATCCTTACCACATTTATTTTCAATTATTATCGAGATTATTACCCAACTGGCCAATATGGTCGACTCATCAGCACTTGATGAGAAACTGGAGGTGAATAGAAAAGGATTCGAAGAAAAATTCATGTATATGAATGCTCAGAACAGAACTGAGAACACTGTGATGGAGGAGAGATTGACGGCGCAAAATGGAACGTATCATTTAACAAATTCGACTAAAGAATCATGTAAGTTATCAATCCACATTCAAATACAAGAGCCAGAAAATTCTTTAACAGTTGAAGAACAACATTGTGCAACGTTCGAAAATTTCTAATTCGTTAGAATCAAGAAAATGACGGAACGTTTTATTCAAATGCCGGCCGAAATTACGAAGGTTCCTCATTACAATTCCAACTCTAGAATTAGCATACTGAGAAAAGATGCTATAAATCAAATGCCTCCCAAATGTCGATATGCAACGGAAGATGAACCTCCAAATTGAGAGAGCAAGGTTAAAGTTAGAAGTCCACAAACTATACCATCCAGTAAAATTAATGAACCAAAAACTACCGCACCCCTGAACCCATCATTGGATAAAAATTCGAATTGTCTATGTTCAGCCAATAATCTATGCTTAGCCTACTGTCCTTCATATATTCATACGAAATCAGAGGATAAAAGGCGACTGGACCAAATCCTCAATCGATTCTAACTGTTTACGAAGTGGTCTGCACTAATGCACTACTCATCATGGTCCTCTACAGAATTCTGTTTAGACGTGATAACTTTACCCTCTTGCTTGGTATCGATATTGTCACCGTAAGAAAAGATCACATATCCTTCTATATGGACGACCTTATCTTAGTTGGAAACAATGAAGAAGAATTAGAAAACCTTACACTGCGGCTACATCAAGTACTCGCAGCTAAAGATTAGTCACCATTCATCTCTACAACTCAAACCTATTAAAGCCACTATAAAGGTCCTCTGGTCAAACAAATGAAGATGGCATCTATTTAACACTTGGAAGGTCCGATAAATTGAAGCAGACAACGAAAGTCCGGGGAATTTACCAGCCCGTTCCAAGATTGCGCCATAGACGTTACTGGACCTGTATATAGGAACATTCCAGATGATAAAGTATACATCCTAGTAATTGCCTGTCTACGATCGCGCTATTCACCATATTGCATACACAAGACGGGAGTCATAGGTCTCATTAAAACAATGTTATTGACATCAAACTTGGAAAACAAAGCATCTTACAATCTCTTCTAAAGAGAAACAAATGAATCATTGTCCAGTAAACTTCGTAGCTGACGATCTGAGCGAACCGATGACAGTTATCCCAAACAAATTCTAGCTTTTCCGACAAATAACGGAAAAAAGCCATTCCTTTGTAATTTATTACACAATGTAATTATTATTTAATTAACAGGAACACTTGATTTTTAACCTTAGGAAAATGTTCTATATTCGTATTCTACTGCAATTCTTTGTCAAATGTGTGGAGCTTATCGGAATGAGGTACAGGTGAGGGTATTTTTTGATAGTGATGCTTTCCTCTTATACTATTTACAACACTGCTGATCGACATTGTTCTTGCAGTGATTAAACCAGCATTTGTTCCTTTTCGTTGCGATGTCAATGTTGTTTGTAATTTGTGTGACTAGGTGTAAGAGTGGTAAGTGTATTTGTCCTTTCCCTATCTCACCGTTGCCCCTTTTTCTCTTAGTTCAACGTTAGAGGTGATCGTCGTCGTCTACGGTTATTAGTTGAACACAAATCTATAAAAACAGTTTCTTTCGTCATTTGCTGTTTACACAAAGCAACAATTCAATATCATACTGTACAAGATTGAAAAGATCAGAATAATCTTAGATAATCATTTTCCAATATGTTTTCACAAGAGATGCAGTACTTTCGACAATCACATTGTCCAATTAATTAGTTCCAAAACTCAGCCTATAATTAAAACAACAACAACAACAACTCGCAACGTGGCTATCACGTGACTATTTTGTATAAATATAGGAGAAAAATTGACGGTGGACTGTCAGTTACCAAATTGAGAAGACCCCGTCGTTTTCTCTGTCAGATTTTCGACAATAGAAAACAATGATTGTTTTCAGAAGAGACGCAATACTTTCGACAATCACATTGTCCAATTAAACAATGATTGTTTTCTATTTTGTCGATGATTTTTCTCTGATTTTATACGTTTTTCAATAAGTTTTTTCAAGGATCTCGCAAAAATCAAAAGACGGAAAATTTCAATTTTCATTTCATTTGAAATGATTAACATGATTCTCTTCACTCCAAACACTTCACCAATCCCACTTGACACTCATTTTGGTAACTTAGGAAATGCAACATGGCCTAAAATTGCATGTTGCACCTTTTTTTAACTGAAAATAAAAGCCGATAAATAATTCGGCAAAAAAAAACATGACTCGCTTACAGTTGGTCATGTTTTTTACGATGGAACTTTGTTTCGTGCTCTTTCACCGGAAGTGACGTTATTGATTTCCATGTAATTCGTCGAATTAACAAGTTGAAAACTTTCTCCTTTTTTTCTGGCAAGTGGGAAAGTATCTTTTTGTTCAACAAAAGTGAAATTTGCAGTATAAATCGTAGGGTAAATATTTAGTGAAAATGTATATGATTTTAGTATCGTTATATACAGTACATGCATTTGTAATATATTTTAGATCACATTTGGAAAAAGCTGGAAAGGACATGACTGAATATGGGGAAATAACCATAGAACGTGAGTTTTGAAAATAGAGAGCTGTTGAAACGAATGAATAAATAGAAAAATTGGAGAGAAAAGCCGTTAAAATGTATATAAAAACGAACCTAGAGAGTAAAAAAGACTAATTGAATTGTTGGAGCGTTGATCTAACTGCCTACGAAGCGATCATACAAACGTAAATTGTTCATCTAAATTTGATTGGGATAAATGTAAGCAAACCACGCGATACATCCGTCCATCACAAAGATTCAACAACAGCCAGCCCAGCCCTTCCTGTTAGCATCAATCAATCAGACATCAACAATGATAGAATGCTTATCTACGAGACAGAAGCACAAGTGCCATCAACAGGTATCTACCATTCGCAAGATGATTGCCTTAATAGATACTGGAGCCTCAATGTCTTTGATAAGCCGTAAATTTCTCCTACGAACGTCATATAAACCAAAGCCAGATGAATAATGCTGTATTGACAAATCGTATACGAACAACTCGTTTCAGCCAGTTGTCTTAGAACAAGTAAAATAATGTTGCCTCACTTAGATCCATTGTACGACATATATTGCTTACGTTGTCGATTGCCTACTAAGAAACAACCAGCTGTATACAGTTGTACTCCTCATCATGGTCCTCTACAAATGTTTCGACGCAATAGTTTCACGTATATCAAGTACCCACTCGGTTGGTACCGAACCTCTCTCTCTCTCCAACCGCCGAAGAACCCTATATGATAAATTGCATCTCATACACAGAAACGAGCAGTAGTGTTCATCACTTTCGTTCAACGTCTCTCTCTCTCTCTCTCTCTCTCTCTCTAAATGACATTCGTGCTATTAACCATCCTTCATAATAATAAATCTATGGCTAAAGGCGGATTTCAATCTATTCGACGACAAGCTAACATTTAACACCGAATAGTTCAAAGGAATACAGACCCTGCTCGACAAGGATTACACTTGTCCTGTACCTGACGATGAAGTTGAATTTTATCTTCCACATCACGGCGCTAAGAATCTCAAGAAAGAAACCGTTCGAATCGTAATGCCAAGTACCACAGCCAGTCTTTAAATGTCTTACTGCCAGGCCCATCACTACTCACATGAAATCAATGTTTGTGAACGTCAGAGTACACATTCCTCTACTTCGGTTTCCTCTACGAAGATCCTACTGGGAAAGGTCATCTTCTCTCTTCTGTCATGACCCTTGATATATTCGGATATTGGGAGCTACTAGTTCACCCTTTATAGCCTGTACTGCCCTAAACTCTGCTACAACACAACTACTTCGCTATCAACCCAAGAAAAGCTTGTAATATCTGATGAACGTAATCGATTGAACGAAATATGCTGAATACGAAACTGTTTAACAAAGTAAGAGACAAATTGAAACTAGGATAGATCTCGAAAGAATTTTTGGAACGGGCATGCCAGATTTATTCAGGTCATAATAAGGTGGAAAGAGACATTAGGAATTCAATCCCCCACCTCTCAAGCCACTCTATTTACATTGCCTTCGCCAGTGCAGTCGATGGTCATAATGCATGATGCCAAACTCACGTGATGATATGGCGTTGTATCATTCAAACTTAAAGACTGTATCATAACTTCATTCTCTATTGCATTGTTCATTATTCAGCAAATTTCCTTCAAATTATTAGCGATTATTGTCGAATATAAGATTATTCCAACTTAGTACCTACATACCGACGACAACACATACAGTATATGTTACATCTTTTAGAGTAAAAATTTGGGAAAAGCCGGAAATGACGTCACTGAAACTACCGTAGAATAGAACATTCGAAAGTGAAGAACTGCTGAAAGGAATGAAGAAGTGGAAAAACTTGATAAGAAAAAAGGACGCTATAAAATTGTTAAATACAAAAGTTACTACTATTTGATGAATCCAAAGAGGTAATCATTAGCGAATCTTCTAATTGGTAGATCGATGAAAGGTTCATTAAAAAGTATGGTAAACACGAAATAAGATGGAAGAGAACTTTTGAGGACGAACTGATCGTTGAAATTGTAGATGGGGAATAAATTGGAAACTATAAAACTAGTCAAAATTACTGCTTTTCTATATCCTTTCAAACAAATCAAATAGTGGAAATATTTTAAAATTAGATGGAGATTTCGTTCTGCAAAATGATTTTTTTTGTTCCAAAGTTGTACTCAGCTTGATGCTAAAAATGTGAGATGAAAGATTCGTTATCAAAACGAACAGACTGATGGGAAAGTCGTAAATTTTGGAGGGACATTTTCATGAAAAGACGACCATGAAGAAGATATTGTTTAAACCAAAATTTATTGAACGAAACCTAATCGACGACAATGAAGAGATTTGGTTTTAAACCAAAAATTATGAAAAGAGCCATCGGATGCTACACTTGTTCAATTAACCGCATCATACATAATATGAAGAAGATCTTGGCTTGTTTTAATCCGTTTTTTCGTTTCAGACTGTTTTCCTTCATATTGATCATTGATCTATTGTTACGCTTTTCTTAAAGTAAGCCGAATAGAATGGAATGAGGAATGACTGGCAGACAATTTTTATGTTTTTATAATATTTTGCTTTTTATCGAAATTTATGAAGGAAACTGTTTGGAAAGAATAGACAGCTGAGAAGAGAAGAGAAGAGATGTTTTAGTATTTTTCCAGTTTTTTTTGTGAAGAAGATTGGGTAAACCAAATTTTCACTATGGAGTTTTGGAAATGAAGAATGCAAAAGAGAAAATACTATCTACATGATCGATAATTTGTCGTCGTCGATGGGAATATGCAAATGAATGATCCTAATTACATCACCAAAACGGTTAAGCATCAAGGCTTTTTGGTATGTGAAATACAATAGAAATAGAGGACTCTGCAAAGTGTGATGAATACATGAAAAAAATTGTATAAAACCTTTTCCCCGACCAAAAAATACATTGAAATCTTTCAACAAGATGCAACAAGCTGTCATTAAAAAACTAGCTGAAGAAAGATATGAAATTATTGGAAAACTGGCCTACAAAATAACCCAGATATTAATATTATTTGGTCATAAAAGCTGATATATGGAAAGATGAATTTAGCATTTATTAGCTCGATAATAAGGATGAAGATGATACCATTCCAATTGATATAATGAGAAAGAAATTTTGGCAAAAGGAAAACTTTAATGCTGACATCCCTCT